ACAATCTTTTGGCACAAAATTATGCCTCATTTCTCCGCTTCGTGTTATAACTCGCGTCAAACCTATCTATACATATGATCCGGACGTCTGACAGTATGTGTGCAATAACTTTGAGGTATGAAAAAAGGTTTTTCACTATTAATCTCACGGATTATGGGATATCAATAATTTATAATCTATTAGTAGTGCTATTAATACTCACGGAGGGTATGCCCGATCATTAGGATAGGCATCAAATCTAAATGTCAAAAACACATTTAAAACTTTAATTTGTATTCATACAGAACTTGTGCACTAAAACTAATGAATATTCATGTGATTAAGAGATATGCAATCGATGATACCGGTGCTATAATTATCGTGGGTTTTCCATATATATCACGAATAAATTAATTCAAGTGTAAAACTAATTGACTATTATTTGCATATCTCTACTACTAATGAAATCCGTGCGATATATTTGAATACCTGTCCCGAATCCTACAGTCATAATAATCGTCAAAATAAGGCTCCGGTAGTACTCGTCGACAATACTCAGGCGGCGCTCTGTCGTCAAAGGGGTCGCCGGGAAAGGGAGGCGGAGGAGGCGGCGGTCGGCGCTCGTACGCGTCATAATAGTCCCTAAAATAGTCTAACCCGTCGTATCGGTCGTATCGGTCGCGGGGGTCGGGAGGCGGACGCGAACACGACTCGTGAAACGGCGGACCGCGACTATTGCCATAAGGGAAGTGGCGATTCTGGTGCAGGTATGGGGTGTATGGGGTGCGCGCGCGTTCACCCATACTTCGCGGGCATTCTTTAGACCAGTGCCCACTTTTGCCGCACCGGTAGCACTGACTTTTGCCTCCCATTCCTTGTATTTGATGTAAAATATGTGTTTGTAATTACCATATAATTAATTTTTTAAAATTAATTAATTACAGAATATATTCGTTAAAGTTTTCATGTAGATTTAAATATGTATAAAAATTATATACAGGTACAATTATGAAAAAATTTGATTAATAACTGCGAATACAAGCAATGAATACCTGGCTTAGGTCTGACTTTGCTACGACTGACTTCAACGGA